AAAAAAAAAAAAAAAGCAGCTCTGATGTTTGCTATTATGAATATTGATTTCTGAATATTCTGGAATTCCCTATGAATTCTCTTCTTGTTAGACCAGATCAAGAAGAAAAATACAGAAAGCAAAAGAAATAAAATACAGAATATCGGCCGCTGTACACCAAAAAACCAGTGTTATTTGTCTCCTGGCCTTCTCACTCTGTATGTCTTCTCTCTCTACATATATCTATCTCTATCTGTTTGATCTGGAAACTATCACATAATACGATCCAAATTCTACAATATCAAATGGAAAATCAAATACTGAGCTCTAGAAATTCAAAAAATTCACAATTTTTTGAGCAGATATATATATTTATATATGGACACATGTATCAATAAAGTTCTTGTTAGTCGGTGAAGAAATCGTTTGTGGATTTGCAATTTTCTAATATGGACCCTTGATATGCCCAGAGAAAAGTAAACTGTAATTGAGAGATTAAAAAACTAAATATTTTTAGGGGAGTTTATATCATATTGTCTTTTGGATGATTTGAGTGGGTAGTAGAGATGGGAGAAAGGATTCAAGGTTAACTTATTGGAAGATGCTGAGATTGAAGAAGGAGATGCTTTTTGTTATGACGATGGCATTTTACAATTGACCCTGATGTTGCTCTATCGTAGCCTTTTTGTATTCCTATTTCTTTCAAATTTGCATTTTCTATGTTTATCAATCCCTAGTTCTAAATCTGCGCGCATGCAACTTTTTATTGGATTGTTCCTATGGCATACCATGTTAAATTGTTTACAACGTGTGCAATTACATCCATTTTGATCTTACTATAGGTGGATAAATTAGCTTGCTTAATTAGTTGAAGATCCTTACTACAACCAATAATTAGTTATCACTAGCAGCCAGCAGTCATGCGACAATAAGAGGCTGATAGAAAGCTGCACAAATGCACCATTCTGAAGTGCGCTTCTGTGTATCATCTACTCATGCTGAAGAGTCCATTTCAAAATTCAGGATGGTTGAGAAGTCTGCTAATTCTTCTGAGTCAAGAATTCTGAAGATCCGAATCAAAGTTGGCACTGAAAATTTGTCTACATGAAACAAATCCGTTGCCAAAATGATTAGTTTATTTCTACAAGTCTAGATGCTCAAGATTCGGATATGTAAAATGATCAGTTTTTGATTGATTCTTCTATTATGCCTAGAAGTGGGAAGATCTCTCATGCTAACAGTCTTGTGTTGAGCAAAGATCCACGCAAACTTGAAAAGGGCCAAAGAGAGTCTAGAGACAGACACAAGGACTTCATTGGAGGCTTGGAATGCAAGAAGAAGACAAATTCGTCAATTTCAGGTGAAAGGCCTTCCTCCGGAAGGCTGAAGGGTTCTCAGCTAGTTGAAAAAAGAGGCGTTGTTGAATACCAGCTATCATCCAAAGAAAATATAATAGTGAAAAGCTGAAAATCCATCATTCACAGAGAAATATCTTAAGGTGGCTTCTAATCTGCCGCCTCCTGGAAATGGCCAAGTTCTGGTGCTATTCCAATGGGCGTGGTCCTTCTAGTCAATGAAGATTGGGGCTCATGTGATAAGCATCAAAATGGAGACTTCTTCCTCTTCGTACAAAGCCTAAGAGTCTTCATTGATAAAAGGCTTCATAGGATGCTTAACTGTCTGCAAGTTTTATCAACATTATATATGTAGCATTCTATCACGTCCTTACCCCCTGTTTGAGCCCCCATTTGAGGGGGAAAATGTCTTTTGGAATAATGATTTTTTGGAGAACGTTTGGCTAAAATATAAGGAAAAATTTTGGGTTTATGTGGAGGACAATGTGTGGTTGAAAATGAATTGGAAAAATGGAGGCCAAACATAGGCTTAGACTGACCACAAGAAATAAGTTCTATCAACGATTTTTATTGTTTTTGACTGATTAGAAAGAAAGATAATGTACAACCAATTTACGAGCATAAATTTTAAACAAATAAGTTGATAAAAATTATGATCCTTGTGAGTTCGATGGAGAAGTGCTGTTGAATTCCCGTGTTAAACTTTATACTACTGAAAGGGATCTCTCTCTCTCATGCATATAGTACTTGAGTCCTGGCAACTTCGATATTTTAACATCTCTCTAGGGTGGAACTCACAATGTGGGTCAAGTATCTGCTGGTGAAGGCAAGGCACTTAGTGTGGTACAACATGATATTTCAACTCACCATGTTACAGATGTCTACAATGATCACTTATGTCGAGGCAATTGTGTGCTTGTGGCATGCTTCTTCAGAGCAATTCCCAGATGAAAGAACAAATGCTGATCAATCTTGAAACAGTGGGTCTCACCGAAAAAACTGGGAAGGAGATTTCTTTGTGTTCTAAAGGCCAGACTTGTAGTTCTAGATCAGACTTTCATAAAGATAAAAAAAACAAGATTTCTGATTCTTCTCATAAATCCTGAGAACATGTGCATTCACATGAGAAAAAATCGAAGAGTGAAGGGAATAAGTTTGAGAAATTTTCCACACCTGACAAAGCCTCAAAGAATATTATTCCATAATATTAGAAAAAGCAAGGATAAAAAGCATAATATTCAAAGGGAGCAGGATAAAAGAAAATCAACCATGCAGCTTCTCTCTGGCAAAAGCAACCCGGCCAAATCTGTGGAAGTGCCAAGTCACACTTACTACCACCCTTAGCAAGAGGTCAGACTGAAAAAGTATCACTTGCCAAGCCTATTTCTGGATCTCGGAAAGAACATGGAGTAAAAAGTGTTTGTAGTCAATGTGTTTGGAGATGCATTAGAGGCACCGAACCGTATTAAGAAAGCTCAGAGCCAGAGTGGAAATCTACCTATTAATTCAAGATATCCTCCGATTGCACATAAGGAATGGGATATTGAAGCCCCAAGTTCGGCTCGAAGGGATCCTCCAGTGACACTGCTATCAGTGCTATAAAACAAGTGAATGACCTTAAACACCTGGCTGATCGTCTTAAGGTTTGTACACTTCAAGTTGATTCTGATGTAGTTGTTGGCATCAATGTGTTGATGATCCGTAATATGGTTCTTTGTAGCAGAACTTTGGATCAACTGAAGTGCAGGGTTTTACTTCCAGGCTGCTCTCACTAGGTGCGGCACTGAAGTTTGTCAGGGGAAAAAACAATTCTCAACCTGATGATCAAGTATATTATTAAGTGTATTGGACTGTCTGCTCTCCATGTTAGGATATGAGATAATGTCAGACCATTATTAGATTTATTCTTCATGCTTCTGTCTTGGGGTATTTATTAGGGGTGTGGCTAGATCTTAATCCTGTCAATTTCTCACCATCTATTATTATTATTACACCCCCCCCCCCCCCCCCCCCCCC